AGCTTATGAAGTTTCCTGTGCCAAAATCTGTCCGCTAAAATTTCATAGGCAGATCCGAGGCTTCATAAGATTTTTCCGAAAAGAAACTTGGTACTCTAAAAAACTCTGATATTCAGTAAAACAAGTGAGAGCCATCTATAATGACGTCTGCCCAAGCTGAGGTAATGGTGTTGTGGACAGGAATCTTGAAAAATGAACAGTCATCTCAATATGATACTTGAAACGCACCGACAGCATCCATAAGTGTACTTCTGCAAAGACTAGCAACATCACTGTCAGCAGAAGTAGACAGGCAAATTCCAGGAAACAGTTTAGAAGATGCGACCGCTGGATCATCCTATCTTCCAGCGATCGCCTCTTCTCTTTCTTAAATAACATAAGCCTCAATTACGAGGCCTGAGAGGAGACTCCACTTTATTGAAAATGCAGTATTCTTCTTGGAGTCATGGGTAAAAGTCTTTAAGGTCCGTTGTTGGTGGTAGTGATAAAGGCGTTTTGGTAAACACTTACCCGAAAGGTAAGCGTATCCGAGATATTCCAACTTGTTCAGCTTACGCGAGGAGTCCCCCTGCTGAGCATGGTCCTTTATGGCCCCATAACTATCAAAGAGAAAATAAGAAAATTTTGTTTCCATAGAAAAACAAACAGACTAAAACAGCCGACCTTTTGTTAGATACACAAATGGTAAGCGGAAAAGCGATGCGAAATGCTTTGATTTATCGGGGGTGTAGCCACAGGTCCCCCCGACTGACATGACCAACCTTCGCAAGTGAAATGTTTGCCACTAACAAAAACTGGCGCCAACTAAACCGTTAGAATAAGTAAGCCCTATCAGAGGGAAGCCTTCAGATATCGAGAGTTCGATCATCGTTGCCGGGGCTGTCCACCGTGTGTCCCATAGCAGGGTGAGAGCAGGGACGGTGACTTGACTACGGAGTAAGTTACTATTATCGTAGACTTGTGCAACATCCACAGCGCTCTCTTTCTTCTCACACACCTCGGTCCCACATCAGGTCAGAGCTAGGAAGGCGGTATCGGACGTAGCCGGCTGGCAGGACCCCCTGATCCGCGTACAAGGAACCAGGAGTTCACACATGAGGAGGCGGAACAGCTCGGGTCCGACTAGGTTGGAGTGTCATAGAAGCCAGATTAAAGAGACATCGCAGTCTGATTCGCCGTCATGAGAAGAAGAAGATAGAATTAAACATTCAGTTGGCAATTCTAAAAGTAACGAATTTTAGCCTGCCATTATAGATTCGAGCGCGCCAGATGGTTTATGGTGAAGGATATGTACTGATAGCTGTAGATTTCATTCACTCTCTCTCTCTCTCTCTCTCCCTTCTCTCGAACATCAGTCGATAGTTCGAGCCGGTCTATCAATTGCTGCTGAGAGAGGGTGCAGTGGCTGACAGAGCTAAACCATAGGACTGCGTAACACAACCTAGCTTTGCAGTCGTAGTGCCGTATAGACCCCGATAGGAACAGTCACTAGTCATAATCCCCTTCCAACGGGAGAAGGGGGTCCCTAAAGGAGGCCCTGTCGATACTCATCTGGTGGTATAGTGTGATGGCAGGTTAGAAGACACTAAATACAACCTCCAGGTCAGAAATGCAATAGGGATCCGTCCAATGTATAGAAATACACCGCCTTCTTGCTATCAAGAAACTAAAAAGAAGACAAATGAAGAAGACAAACAATAATAAATTCCCGAACAGGGAAGCAGATTAAGGCATAATTAGCTCAATAGTGGAAAAGCAAAAGGCTTACATAAAAAAGTAGAGGCCCCATGCAGATGCCGCTCCTAGGAGGTTGGGTGTGATGCCTTGATATAGGCCAAGAGGACCGCGAGCTTTATATACTTCGCTTAAGGTGCCGATCAAACGAGTACTTCGCGGGCTAGTAAAATGAAAAAGAGACGAAACGGTTAGCCATAAGGGGTAAATGGCCTTTAACAAGAAGTTACTTCAGACCAATGCATTTAACACCCTTCAAAGACTACACTATAATATCTGGTTTTAGATGAAAAAAGGTCGTATGAAGCAAGCAGAGTAAACTAACCGGGCAGCGACTGCACCGGTGCCTTCGTTGACTTGAAGGCGAATCTTGGCCAGATCTAAAGGGTGCAAAACCAACGTACTCGTCGCTCCGCCGGCCAAGCCCGCGACAAACTGCTCCCACTGTACATGGGGCAGAAAACGAGGTCGGCGATAGGTGTAGTCTTGCTGCTGTGGGGTGTCTAGACCGATTGAGGCCTTCGGGGTCATGATTCCTCGTCAGCCTAGAAGACGCAACGGTTGGTCAAGTGTGCATGAACGTGCTGATAACAAAGCACTAATGCTGGCAAACTTCCCGTTCGTTTTGTAGCTAAAACAATTTTGACAGTTACTACTAGATCTAGTGTTGGACTCCTCGCGGGCAGCCATATCGTTTGTGACCCCACCAATTAGGTGAGAAGTATGTACGCCTGTAATATGGGAATGATGGCAATAGGGGTTTTATGGGTTGGACTAAAGGAATCCGAGGACAGCACACTGTGTGAAGAAATGTCTTACACTAACCTCAGAGCCCTGTACCCAAAATCAACTAATCCTTACTGCTAATATCTCTGTTAAAATTGTGTCCACTGTAAAGAAAAATATATATACAGTACAGCCTAAAATTCGTGTAACATGCCGACATGCGAAAGATTTATGCTCTCTCGCTAACCGGCATTGAGTAAGGTTGTTATACTGATTATCGTGTAGTCTATTCTGAAGTCATTTCAGTCACGATAGGATGCCGGCTTTTTAACTAGCTTCGGTTCGGCCGATAACACAACGTAAAAGTGGCTACTTAAGTAGCATGCATTTCTATCATTGATTTTGACTGCCTCTATACATTCAAGTATATTTTATGGAAAACAAACGAGAAAATTATTCCTTGCACTCGTTTGGTGGCAAATTACGCCTTATTAAATGCGATACTTAAAGAAAGGGTATTTTTCGATTTAAAAAGTTTCTAATTATGAGCTTTTTACGATTGTGAGGTTTTTATTCATTATACATCACATCCGTCAATTTACTAATGCTGTCTATAATGTGTGTGGCTTCCCATTACCGCAGTTTTATATACGGTTTTGCGAATATCACTTTTGGCCTCAACCGAATGACGGAAAAGGACTGCGCTTTACGTGGACGGCAAGATGCGTTTAAGTCTTCTCAACCCTCCAAGACGTCCTAACGTCTGCATCAATCCTGGTTTTCCCAAATGGCAGTGTCCAAAGTCCACAATTCATCTTGGATACTGATGTTACATTTGCCATTGGCGCCATCATCAGCTAAATCGACATAGACGATCATTATGACGTAATAGCTTACGCCAGCCAATGCTTGGACAAGGTTCGACGCCACTATAGCATCACAATAAGGAAAATGCCAGCTTTGCTCACTTTCGTAAGGAAATTCCGACATTGCTGCTTGCAAAACATTTCCTCGTCCGCACCGACCATCAGGTACCCAAAGAGTTCTGGAATTTTAAAGACGCTTAGGGACAGGTCGCCAGATGGCAAAAACCCATCGAAGTATTTGATTTTGAAGTGCAGTACCACCACGGCAAACCACGTCAACGCCGACGCTCCATCTCGCCCACCATTTCCCCCGACGATGACACCGGACACCAGTTTTCCGGTATCAGTCATACACATGTCACACGCCGCTGAAGAACCATGGGCCCAAATGCATACATCTGACCCCAAGGACTCCCTCATAGACGATCGACAGTAACACGGTTCTCCTAAATCCACCGCTCC